AAAAAAAATTTATTTATTTGTTTGATTAGAGGCAAATCTATAGTAATTAAAGAACACGATTACATATAATCATTTTTTCCATTATTTTCATAAACATGTGTTTTTTTATAGCTAGAGTTAAATACACGAAAGAAAGAACAACATAATATCGCAATTCACATAAAGGAAAAACTAACTAACAATTTACATAAAGGAATAAAATGAGGCTTTTCCGAAATTTGGAATTTCAAATCAAATGAGAAAACTAAAGAATATACAAGTACCAGAACTATCTACAAAATGTTTGGAAATTGAGAATCCAATCTGTGATCTTCATTGAAAGCTCAGCTTATTTTTCATTGTAGCTCTGCAGTAGGGATTTTCTTCTGTTTATCACTTCCTTTAACTCACTTACTTATCTTTCAGCAGTTCAATGTTATCCCAATCCCCTCTCCCTTCTTCTGAAGAATTGATGTTGCTTTCAACTTAGGGATATCCATTTGCATAGCCATTCCTCCCTTCTGCCTCGGCCGGCCACATATGAACTGCAGTGGGGTTGCTACACAATGATCTGCAATTAACAAAGCAATGAACACCAATATCCACAACATTTCAAAGATATTCTTAATTAACTTATAGTATCCTTAACATGAAACTGGTCATCAACATCTGAATAAGCATATTCACATATACCAATTTGAAATCCAATTAATGAAACGATTGCATAAACCGCTAAGTTCATGTCACATGCCAGATTAACAAGAAAACTAAATAAATTTTTTTAACAACATTCAAACTCTAGAAGTACTTCAAATTCAAATCCTAAAGTTGAATTACAAACTGTTAAATCTCTCAATTATAATGCTTAAATCAAATCTAAATTCTGATGGTGGTCTATGCTTAGAATATGGGAATCCATAAATCTTTAATCACTGTCTATGGAATATTGTATAAAGCAAAGAACTTCACCTAAAACCAGTATCCCCAACAGTTCCAATGGCCATACACCAGAAAGGCCAGCAAGGCCACAAGCGAGGCTCGAAAAAAGGTGGGCATAGCCATCAAACAAGTAGTATGACTTGGCCTTAGGATTGATTCTAGTACCGATGACAGCAATAATCAATCCATAAATACCCAAAACACCAGCCATAACTGTAACGACCCAAATTTTTTTAGGGATTTGAATCGCCACCAAAACTATTTATAAGAAAA